AGTTTCCATTTTGAATTCTAGTAGAACCAAAAAAATTTTCTAAACGGTCTTGATTCAGTCTACATGTGCAGATTTCAAGATTGGATTTATCTTGATTGTCATTTAATAAATTAGAATGAAGACGAATAAGTCCAGCTATTGATATTAACCAAGAGTTAATAAATTTGATATTATATTGTCTATTTATGGTGATCCACTCATTTTTCAAAACATCAAATTTCTGAATTTCTAAATTTTTAAAATAATTAGACATATAGTTTAAAAATGTTATTTGGTCTTTAGAGTTTGTAAATGGAAGACAAAACTGTTTGGATCCATTTGTTTTATCATCAGAAATTTCACTAGAATTTGGACGAGAATTAAAAATGTCAAAAAGTTTGTCCATTGAGTCAATAAATTCAATAGTATCAAAGGCACTACAATCTAACTTGTCACAAGCAACTAGAGTAGTCATCCCTGCCACAACTGTATGACTAAAAACATGAGCTGCATATTTAACACGCATTTTTTGAAAACTGTTAGGGTTCATGTGTATATCAGTTAATTTAGGCGCCAATCGATGTACTTGAGATTTATCTACATCATAAAATTGTTTCAGATAAATTTTTTCTGCTACTTTATTTTCTGACTTGAACCGATAATTAAAAAAGTTATTTCTAGTTGCCTTCAATAGATGGGGTGGATCAAACATAAAAACAATTTCTTTACCACTAACATTAAAGTAAGGGGTTTCTGGAGTAATGTGTTGGGTATCCACAAAGTTCTTAAAATTTGATCCTAAATCTGAAATCATGACTCTTACATTTAAGGAAATACCATGTAATTTATGAATACAACTATAAATGATACCAAGTAAATCAGCTCCTGTGCAAGAGGTTGCTACAAAAAAATACCCAATAGGTTGCTTCCATGAATCATATAGTCCATGAATCATAATAACCATAACTGACCTCGCTAGATCACTACTTTTAAATGAATTAGTATTGTGAAAACCTATGATTTCATCTTTTTTAATATCATAAAAAAGAGAAGATTTAAGAGACATTTCATCTACACACAACACACATTGTCTATACTTAATTTCCATGGATTTTACTTTCGTTGCTAAAACTGTAAACAAAAATTGATTAAGACCAGGATTTATTTCCCAGTTTTCAGTAGTTCTCTGTAAAGTTCTAGGTGAAGGCAAATTCATTGATTTTTGAAGAAATCTATACACTTTAGGGCCTAAAAAATGTATCATGAGAGCAAATTGTTTTGTCTCATAAGAATATCTACGACCTTTGGATTGGTTTAGACTCAGTTTGCTTTGAACTTTAACAAAATTTGAAAACCCTTTATCAAGGAATTTATCACACATTAATTGAAAATGATCTAACGAAGCCATAGTTTTTTGGTTATTAGCATATTCTTTTTTTAAAATATTAAATTTTTGTTGAAGTTCATTATACTTATGTTTTTGGTGACTTAACATTTTTCGGAGCTTATCTTTCCTTGGAGTATGACTGGAAAGGCCTTGGGTAGTCTGACAAGAAGAACTGGTTGATGATGTAGAGGCTGTTGAATTGTAAGAACCAATTAAACTTCTTGCAACTGAATTTGCTATAAAATAATACATAATATTAATTACATTACATTATCACATGATTTAATACAAAATTTAGTTCAAGTGTATGCTTACACTTAGGGGTTGAGGTTGATTGGATCTGTGACCAATCAATTGGTGAACAATATTCTAAAAAAAATTAAATAAAAAATTAAAATAATTTATAGACTAATGGACTAATATATAATACATGTATATTAAGTGCCTAGCAGATGATTTAATATACATTTTTAATAAAATGCCTATAAATTATAATAAATAAAATATAATAAATTACCTGTAACTTCCACCTGAGGACGAACTAGTTCCGATTTGATAGATTCATCTGAAATATTGAAATAGCTTTACATTACAATATTATACAATTCGGAATTTTTTATTATATTATTTTTTAATTTAAAAATAATTAGTTAAAGTAACATACCAGTGATTTCCTGTTGTTCATTTAAATATCCATTCCATTCAAATTTTGATGGAACTGCATTAGAAATCAGACGAGTCCCTACAAACTGTGACTCATCAAAATGCCTTGAACACAATTTGTAGTGCCGAAAACAAATAGCTGGATCCACGTCAACCAGATCATTTCGTCGACATAAAATAGCCCACTGCTTGCATCTGTATTTAAAATGTTACATAATGATTTAAATTTTAAATGACAATAAATCAATAAAATAAAATGAGAATAGGTAGGTGATGGAGGTGTTGTTACAGATAATGATTGTTATAGTTCTTGTACAAAATTAAAGGCACTTACCTTTCAGCCGACATCGGAAAACGATGGAAACTGATTTGGGCTAATGGCCCATATTTGTTGGGGCATACCACACACTTTACAACCATTGTAAATTTCAAAATTCAACTATTAAAATTTCAAAATTGAAATAATATTGTTAAATGTTTAAATGCCTATTGCTTTGTATACGTTTATAAAAATTCCGTAACAAAGAGAGATACACGTTGCTAACATTCTATCAGATTACGGATACGGTACAATTTTTATAGTCCAATACATCATACCGTAGGGATACGTAAACCCTCACAGCTGATCGAGTGTCTATTCTATATTGTTCTGTGGTATGATGTAATCACGGTATCTTCAGATAGTGTTGTTATGAACGGTTCCCGCTTCCTAAAGTATTTGATACTATTTGAAATTCTCGAAATGACATGTGGTGAGCATATGCTATATTGCCACTTTCTTTTTTTGTTGTTGTAGGTTATTCTGTATGGTTAATATTATTTGTATTTTGTTGTGTTTTTTGATTATTAATTTGGAAGAAATATATGTTAGTTGTAATTCAAATGTGTTATTTTTTGTTGTTGTAAAGTAAATTTTGTTGATGTAAGGGTGAAGTGTAGGTTTGTTATTTATTGTTGCAATCTGTGATGAAAAGACTGTGTGGAATTTTTGGGTAAGATGAATTTAATAGAAATATGATTGTTGTTGTGATTTTTGTATTTATGTTATAGGTGTATAATTAATTGTTGTTTGCCTGTTGAAGTTTATGTGATAAAACTGAAGAATTGATTATTTGGATATGGTAATGTGAAGAAATTATTGATAGTTGGTCTGAAGTTTGTATATATAAATTTGTTTAGATCGATTCTTGTGTGGTTAATTGATTGTTTTATTCTAGCTCGAAACGTTTTGTTCTTAGTTGTTGTATTGGTTGTCTACAGCAAGGGCATTTGTCATTTCTAATAAGAGTAATGCAATTTAGATGAAATTTATGGTTACAGTCAGTTATTATTAGTTGTCCTTCTGATTCAAGACATATGGGGCATGTTTCTTCTTCATTTAAGGTAGGTGTAAAATTCTTAAATGGTGCTGCTTGGGGTATAATTATTAACTCACAGTCTGTTTTGAGTAGGATTTTTTTATGTGGGAAAAAGTGATTTAATGTAAGGGTTATAATTTTATTGTTCTTGCATGACAGCTTTCTCAATGAGTTGTTGATTTTTATTGATTCTATTAAGTTGTGAGCACAGTGTAATTCCATTAAGTTTGAATTGAGCTGTATTTTTGATAGTAAATTTCGCTTGCAAAATAGTATTAATAATTGTTCGTTTAAGTTAAGGTTTTTTAATTGGTTGTTATTGCAATTTAATATTCTTATTTTAGGATTTAGGTATAAAGTTTTTAATGCATTGTAATCACAATAGGCTTCTATTATATTAGGGCTTAGGATTAGAGTTGTTAGTTTGTTATAAGAGCATATCAATTGATTTAAATCTTCTGGGGGAGTGAATTTTGTAATTTTGTTGTTGGCACAATCAAGTGCTTTCAAGTTTTTATTGACAATTAGCTCAGTTATGTTGTTATTCGTACATGTTAATGATCTTAATGCTGTGCATTTGGACACATCTAGCTTGGTGATGTCAAAATTAATTATAGTTAGTTTCCTTAGTTTGTCTGATTTAATTACTAAGTTTGTAAAAATTGTTTCAGGGTGTTCAGCATTTAAGCTTAGTTCTGTGCAAGGTGTGATGAATTCTTGTATTGAAGGGTCGGTTTCCTGTCTGTACAACATTTTACCGTGCTGAAGAAAGAAGAAAAAGAATAAAAAAAAAAAATAAAATAAAATTTTAGTATTAAGTTAATTTTAGTTATTTTTAAGTTTTATTATAGGTTTAAGATTATGATTGATGTTAATGTACTGTATTTGTTGTATTTCTGATTGGTATCTCTGTTATGTTGTTTATGTAGTGAAATATACATTTTGTGTAATGTATGTCTGTTACTGGGTCATGTGAGTATGTGTTGTTGTGTGATTGTTTACATATTAGGTTGTGGGTTTCAGTTAGGTCTAGTAATCTTCCGTTTTTATGTACTTGTCCTAGTTCTATTTGTGTTAATATTTGTTTGGTTAGTATGTTGCTTATTTGAAGAAAGAAAAGCCCGTTGTTGCATAGGTCATAGCTTCTTATGCTTAAAATGGTATGTTTTATGTTGAGTCTGCTTAATATTTCCATGTCAGTTTGGCCATTCCAAGTGATTATAATTGGAATTTTGTTTCCATGTAGTAAGTAGTTCTGTATAAAGTCGCCCTGTAGGTTTGTAAGTTTTGTTAAGAAGCTGTCATTGAGTTCATTGAGAATTGGTGTGAGTTTGTGTTGTTTGTTTTTGAAGTTTTTTAGTAGGCTCCTTATAACAAGGTTTATGTCCGTTTTATTTAGTGAAATGGCATTGTTCGAGTCTTTTCTAAGTAGTAAGGGTGTTCCTTTTAGTTTAATGATGGGGGATAGCTTATGTATGTTTGATATGGCACCTGAAATGAGTACTAAACTGGTTCTCTCCATTGTTGTAAACTCGAAGTCAATAGCTACAATATTTAGTTTGTTCATGATGGTATGTTTGTGCTGCTGTTTCTACTTTGTTAGTCCTGTAATTTCAAAATTTAAAAGTTTTTTTGCATATTAGTTTTAATTCTTTGTTTTTTGTTTTGCGAATGGTGTCCTTGGTTATGTTAATCATATTTAGTAGTATGTCTGTTGTTAAAGTTTGTGGTGTGATGTTGTAATGTGTTACATATAATCTGCCCATTTCATTGGGTATAGCTGCGTTTTGAAATTGTGTAATTTCTGGTGCTCTTATTATGAAAAATCCATAGTTATAGAATGTGTAGGCTGACATTATGCGGCCAATATGTTCATTGTTGAGTGAGTAGAAATCTCGTGATAGATTTCTTATCCAGTCTTTTTTAGGGGTTAGTGGGTCTAATATGCAAGAATCGTTAAAGTATAGAGTTAATGTTTTGAGAAATTTGTCAGAATAATTTTTTGATACAAAGTTTTGTTTGGAGTTGTTTGCGTTAAAGTATAAATCATAGTATAGATTTTGATTTTGTAAATTGAAAGTTTGTGAAGGTTTAGGTATTTTCTTTAGTTTATTACGATTTTTTCCTAAATGTCCTGTCATGATCATGAATATTGGGTCATGTAAAAGTCCGGCTGTCATGATGAAATGAGCTGATACTGCTGTTATGTCAATGATTTTTTCTAGTAGATGTGAGGGTTTTAAATTTGGTAAATGCCAGAGCTGTGATGAAAGGCAAATAAATATTTCAGATAAAAATAATGCTCGTAGGTAAGTTTTTTTTCTTAGATTTAGTGATGTAGCTGTTTGTTCTAATTGCTTTATTATTTTTAGAGCATTACTGATGTTTGTAGTATTTTCGTTGAGGCATATGATGTATGTGTTATTTAGGTTGTCCGTGTAGATTGCATGTTTGATGTTACTGTATATTTTTCCATGGGTTATAGCTAGTTTTTCTTTGTAGAGGTGAACTGTTAATAAGTATTTATTGTTTTGTCTTGTCATGTAATTTATATGGCTGGAGCAGCTTGCTAGTACTTCTGCTCGATTCATTCTTAGTGATGTATTAGTTGTTGGTGTATTGTTTCTTGTGTTGTAGCAAGTTGATATTTGAGTTAGTGTTGTGCACCAAAATGTTGTTGTGTTATATTTTCTGGCGTCAGTTCGTGATGGTGGGTGGCGTTCTATTTGTATTTTTTTCATTAGGTCAAAGTGATAGTCCATGTTTCTAAATTATGATATTAATTATTTAATAGATTGGCTATTTTGTGATGTTTTATATTAATTTATATGTTTAATTTGATATTTATGTTGAGAAAGGTTTTTTTTATTTAAAAAATCTATTGTGGTAATGATGTGTAATGTAAGTTCTTATAAAGTCCTTCTGGGTGTTTGATAGTGTGAATTTTCGACTCTGAGGGGTGGATAAAGTTGTCGGGGTGCTGGTATGGGTTGTTCCTGAACTGTGTTTAATAAATAGGTGTTTTGTTGAGTGATTTCTTCTGTAGTTAATTTTCTTGGTTTTTGTTTATTGTCATGTGAGTGTGATTTGTGCATAAAATAATGTGTCATGCTAGCGAACACACCTGCTAGCACTTTGAAACTGCATCCAAATGTTTGGTATAATATTGACATGTTGATTGTTGTGTTGAGGCATATCATTAGAATTTTCCATGCGACGAATACGCCTAATAGTCCAGATATAAAGTTTCCAAATCCTACGAACCAGCCCCACATTTTGTTAAGTTTATCTTCAACTAATCTGCTTATGAGTTGTTCATCAATATATGGCTTGATTTTTAGGCCTTGATCTATTGTATTGTAGCCCATCGTTTGTCTGGCTAAATTACTTTGAGCTGCGTCAACTTCTTGGGGAAATAATAAATGTTTTTGTAGGGCATTGATCATATCGCTAGAGTATAGTCCTGCGTTCATTAGGTGTTCTGGGCTTCTATATGCCCAAGTCCAAGATGTTTGTGGTTTTAATATTTGAGGTATTTTGCCAGATCCTAGCTCGTTGTATTCGGGTGACATGCTGATCCATTCTCCTTCCATTAGATATCCTGTTGGTAGTATGATGGTACAGTCAATTTCTGTCCCGTATTTTTGTAGTGTGTGTGTTTTAGGCGCCATGAATAATTTTTGTTTATTATAGACTACTCGTAGTTCTTGAAAACAAACTTTGTGGCTTCTGCAGTGTTGCCGAATTTAAAATGTCATATTACCATTTTATGATAACAAAATTACCACAATTACCACATTACCATATCAATATTACCACTACGAATACCACATTAGAATTTAGAAATATAACGCGCTCGCTTCGCTCGCTACTATACTCCCTTTTTACCGATTAATATTTTAAGCATATAAACACATAATATTATGATTTAGGACGTGGGTATGCTTTCTTATATAGTATGATATCCATATTCAATGTATGTACTTAATACGATATAATATTGTATAGGTACTGTATAGGTACTACCTATAGACTAGATATATTAGTTGTACATAGTTAGCATAGATATCTGTGTACTGGCGTACCTACTACAGAAATTATTAACAGTAACAGTAAGTTGTACAACTTGTACCGTTCCGCGTTTAAACATTGATTAGGTAATCTGCTTATCTGCGATCACGATTTATATCTTAAATCGTGTCTGCGATCAAAATATGTTAATCAATTAGTATTATCAGTTATCACAGAATTGATTAAATTTATATTTTATTCTGTGGTATTATGGAAAACATCCGTGAATTATATAACCAAAAATAATAGTAAAAAAAAAAAATTTCAATATAATGCAATTTAGTTCTCCAATGGCCGGTTTCAAAGTAAATATAGTAAATAATACCACATTTTTTTGTATTTTCATAAATACCACAAAATTACCACCATTTTAACTATACCACACCATGTACCACAAGTGGATTAAATTACCACCGTATGGGGTAATTACCACATCATCGGCAACACTGGGCTTCTGTCAAGTTCAACGTCTACAGGCTTGCATTTTATTAGATAAACTATTTCTCCGGTTTTCAATGCAGTGTAGCCAGGTCCTTCTCCCATTGTGTAAGCGAATTCTGATAAGCTGTATGAAGCTAGTGATAATTTTTGCATGAGTATGTTTCTTTCTAAGTGACATTGTTTGGTCACCAGATCGATATACATGGATGTGACGGTGGCTTGTAGAATGTTTTGTATATAAACAAATTTTGTATTTATGTAAGCCATTAAATCTGTATTGTATGTAGAAATAGGTTTAGTGTGAAAAAATGGTATGTTGGTACGGTCTGTTAATATGAATAACCTCGGATGTTCGGTTCGAAAAACTGGTATATGGCATGCATAATCAATATTTAATTTTTGTAGGGCAAATGCAATTTTGTCGGATTCGACTAAGAAAGTTTGTATTTCATTAGATGAGTTTTGGGATTGTTTAGATGTTATCAGAGTGGCTGGGCCTTCATATAAGGTGTCATAATCGTTGACATCACAGTTTGTTTGTTGGTTGTATTTCCAAATGATTTCTCCTTTGTGTGAGTCCATACCATATGACTCAGATAATTTCAAACGAGTGCCTGTGGGTAGTACAAGTAGGTCTTCCCTGCTGTTGGCTACTGCTACCCCTTCTGATAACAATATTTTGTATTTAGCTTGTACTAATACATTGTCCCATTCGAATTTGTCTGTTCTGAATGTTTCTCCAGTGCAGTCGCCATTATGGTTGACTGCGCCTTTAATAACGTCCGAAAAATACATTGTCTGATTTATTCTAATATTATTTGCTGTTATGCCTTGGTAAAATTCGTAAGCACGCCTAGCGTGTGCATCAGCACATTGAGCTGCACCTATTTGTATAAGTTCTGTAAAGTAACCATTTCTTACGACTTGAGCATCGTCGAAACTGGCGCATTTCGTAATTAAATAGTCAGCTACGATGTAGCATGCTTGAAATTGTATTTGTACTGTTTCTCTGATTTGTAGTAATTTCATAATCGGGATTTTGTCTATTTTGTTTGGTAGGGGGGGTGAGCAGTAATCTACGTTTAGTGTGTTGAAAGATGTAATATTGAGTTTCGTGCCAGAGCAGTCATAAGCTATGAATCCTCTCGTGTATGGTATTGTGTGTGTGATTAATGTGAGTATTGTGTATATTGTTAGTTTGAGTTTAGACATGTTTATTGATGATTTGTATTTTATAAATATTTAGTTACCTATATCTGTGGGTTCCTTTTCTTCGCTTGAATCTGAATTGTCTCTCTGGAAGTATGGTTTCAATCGTCTAATATGAACGACATCTATTGTTAATTTATTATTTAATACAAGTTCTATCATATAGTTTACGTCGCTAACTTTTGAAATTATTTTGTAAGGACCTCTATATTTTGGTGCTAATTTAGCTGTTTTATTTGGTTCTTGGAATGGAAATTTGACTAAAACTAATTGGTTTGGTTCATATGTTGTGAGTTTGTGTGATTTGTCATGGTTTAATTTTTGTATATCTTGAGCTTTTTTTATGTAATCTGGTATGCTTGCTCTGACCTGTTTTAGTTCCTCGAGTGATTTTTTTATGTCGTAAGATAAGTTTTCAGGGATTATTTGTATGTCTATACCTATGTTTGCATTGAAGCCGTGTAATAGATAATACGGACTGTAATTTGTGGATATTTGCGGTGAGTTATTGTAACTAAATATTATGTAAGGCAAGTAAAATGACCATCTTGATTGGTTGTTGTCTTTTATGTAGTGTCTTATTGCTTGACATATTACTCCGTTGATTCTTTCGGTGAATCCTTGTGATTGGGGTGCGTAGCTGGATGAGAATATTTGTTTTATGCCGAAATTTGTACAGGTGTCATTTAAAATTTTGTTTCTGAAGTGAAGTCCTCTGTCGGAGGTGAGGTATCTGGGGACGCCGTATTGTGTGATGTATTGTATTAGAAATTTTGCTACAGTGTTGGCGTCTGCTAGCCTAGTGGCTTTTGCTATGACGTATTTCGAGCTTTGACATGTGAATACTAATATGTATTTTTTGTTGTTGCTGGATGGTAGAGGGCCTAGGAAGTCCATGGTTATTCTGTCCAATGGTTTACAAGTTGGTAGTGGTATTGGTTGTAGGCATCCTGCTGGTTTACCTTGTGACTTTTTATTTATTTGGCATTGATGACATGATTTGATAAATGTCGTTACGTCTTTTATTAATGATGACCATGAATATTTTATTTGAATTGCTTTAATAGTTTTCGTGATCCCTAAGTGTCCTGCTAGAGGGGGGTTATGATGGGCTGTGATCACATTTTGAATTAAGTTCTTTGGAATTACTATTGCATTCTCTATGTTTTGTTTGGGCATGTGCCTTTTGAGGTATAAAATTTGATTTGTTATTATGTATCGTCTTGATAGTTTTTTATATTTGTTAGATGTTGGTATGTTGTTTAAAGCTTTCATTATTTCATTACAAAATTCATCGTTCTTTTGACTTTGTATTATGTTTATTTCTGTGGGCTTGTCATTGTTTATGTTATGTATTGGTTCATGATGGAAGTGTTGTGAGTCGAATTCGAATATTACTGCGTCTATGATATTCATGATGCTTTCTCTGGACAGACAGTCGGCAACTTTGTTTTCTTTCCCTGCTTTATGTTTTATTGTAAAGTCAAAGTCTAGTATTTTTAATGTTAGCCTGGCTATTCTGGCAGATGGTATTTTTAAGTTTTTGTAGTATTGTAGGCTAATGTTGTCTGAGAATACTGTGAATTTCCGTCCCCATAAGAATTCTCTGAAATATGTTATTCCGAATACCAAGCCTAAAAGCTCTAGAGTTGTGGATGAATATGTTTTTTCAGAATCTAGTACTTTTCGTGATGCATATCCTATGGGTCTTAATTTGTTAGTTTCGTCTGGTTGTTCTAGTACAGCTCCGAGGCCGGTTATGCTGGCGTCTACTGTTAGATAAGTGTCTTTGTCATCAGAGAAGTGTGCTATTACAGGTTCCGATGTTAAAATGGTTTTTAATTTGTTGAAAGCGTCTTCGTGGTCGTTGTTCCAAGTTATGTACTTATTGTTATCGTGTTTAGTTAACTGAAATAATGGGTTGGCTATATGTGAGAAGTCTTTTACTAATCTTCGGTAGTAACTGCACATTCCTAAAAAGCTGCGGACTTGTTTGGCCGTTTTTGGTTGTTCGAAATTTGTTATGGCTGTTGTATTTCTGGCTAAGGGTTTGAGGCCTTCGCTGGAAATTTGGTGTCCCAAAAGTTCAATTTTCTGGGCGAATATAGTGCATTTGGCTGTTTTTAATGAAAATCCGAATTGGTTTATAATTTCGAATACATTTCTTAAGTTGTGTAGTGCTGTTTCAAAGTTTTCTCCGAAGGTAGCTAAGTCGTCAATGAATATAATTACTGATTTGTATAGATAGTCTGAGAATGCTTTATTGAGTTCTCTTTGAAATATTGCGCTTGAGTTTTTGAAGCCTTGTGGTAATCTGGTGAATGTCATCAAACCGTGAACTGTAGTGAAAGCTAACATGTATTGATCCTGTTCTCTTACCGGAATTTGAAAAAATCCGCTGTTTAAGTCCAAAGTTGTAAAGAACTTTGAGCCTTCTAAACTGCGGAATAAGTCTATTGTTCTGGGCAATGGGTATTGATCTGATTCTATTATGTTATTGAGTTCTTTGTATGAAACGACTAGTCTGTAACTGTTTTTCTCCTTTTTTCTTACTAGGAATGCAGGTGAAGCAAAGTTTGATTTAGTGTGCTTGACTATGTTTGCTGTTATTAGCTTGTCTAATTGGGTTTTGAGTTCTTGTCTTTGGGAAGGGGAGATTCTGTGTGGTGGGTTGAATTTCGGCTCCTTTGCGTTTGGTTTGATTTTTATATGACAGGGTTGTACTTTTGCTGGTTTTATGTGTGTTGTGTCAGTGGAAAATATGTGTATGAATTGTTTTAATAATTCTACTGTTTGATAATGTTGTTCTGTAGTTATGTTGTTGGATATGTTGATTTGAGTTCCTTCTTTGTCATATACTTTTTCTCTGTCATTGGTAGTGATTGTATTTATAGTTTGGATTTCTTTGATTTGATTTGTTTTATTGTTTATCATTGTTTCTAATTCCAGTCTGTTTTTTATATGTTGTATGGAAATGTAGTTTTCCGTATATATTATTTTCTGTGGGATTTTATTTGATTTGGATTTGTTTTTTATTAGTGTGCCGGGGCACCAGTGGGTTCCATTATTTAGATTATACAGTACTATGGGAGGTCTGAATCCTGATCCATATACGTATCCATTTTTAGTTTTATCTGAATATATATAAGTGTCAAATCCATAGTGATTTGCAATGCTACTTAGTTGGTCATCATGCCACCAGTAGTTGGGTAATTCTGATAATCCTAGCAAGTCCAATATATTGGCTAGGGCTATTATCTTTTTGGGTTTGTTATCATTTATTGCGTTGGTCAAAGCGTATAGTCCGCAATTCCCATCGGACAGTACGTTTTCTCCCATGTGGTATTTGGAAAATATTTTGATAAATTGGGGGTATTGGATTTCAATCTCATTGTTTGTATTTGTAATGCGATTGTATGTATTCTTTATATTGGATATTATGTTTGGTTTCTTGTGTTTGGGTGTGTAGCATATGAGCAATTGTATTTCTGTTTTGTTAAATATTTCAAATATCATATTTTTAATTGTGTCCCATATTAGTTCATTGTTTGTTATGTTATTCGCGCATATGGCTATGTACTCGTATCCATCTGTTATGGCAGAGTTTTTTAGATTGTAGAAATTATCGAAAATGTCTATGTATGACGTGGGCGTGTTATATTTTTCTTTAGATATTAGATAATGTATAGTTCTTTTTTCTGTGTCAATTGTCGTTATTTCACCTGGTATTAGCTCTAAACTATCGAGTATATATGACATGTTGCCATATTTCTGTGTTAGTTTATTTGATAAATCTGTGTTGTGTTGAAGGTCGGCAGAGATTGTGTGAGCTATCGAATATTTGGGTGTTGTATTTAGTATGTCTATATCGGTTTCGATTATGTTTGTTGATGACATTGTTTTGTGTTCTATATTGTCGATATGGTTTTCAATTTGTGAAAATTTGTTGTTCATTATTTCGGTTTTGATATTTTTATTTAAAGTTATTATCTTTTTAGTGTAATCGATTTTTGCTTTGTTAGAGGCTAGAAATTCATTTCCTAGTATTATGGTGCTGCTTAAGTTTTTTATCACGCATACTGGAATTTGGAATATTACGTTTTCAATCTTTAGGTTTATGGATGTGGTTCCTATAAATTGTAGTGGTGTTTTGTCTGGTCCTGATAGTTGATATTTGTTGGATGGACTTATTAGTCTGTGATCAATTAGGTCTGGGCGGATGCAATTGATATTTGCTCCGGAGTCTATGGTGACTTCAATGTTTTCATTGTTTAATTTCGCTATTATGTATAGAGCATTGGCTTTTCTGTCTTTGTTAATTATTATGTGTATTAGATCTGTTTCTATACTTGTATTGTTTGGTTGTTGATGTTGTTTTATTTGTTCTGTTGTTGTTTCTGGATTTAAAGGGTAATGCATTTTTCCAGAATGGGCATTTAACCTTTGTTCGCTCCGTTTGATAACCGAATTGCCGCCGTCGGTGGTCACGCTCGACCGACCGCCGCAGTAACCATGTTCGTGGGCGCTGCGCGCCGGCAGCCGCGATTTTGGCAACACTGGTAGACCGTTACCGGTGATCGGCGCTGTCGAGTTCGGACGTCCGCCTCGCTCGGTCGTCGTCTGTGTATGCGTCTAGCTCGTCCGTACCGTTTATGCTCAACGGCCCGTCCATGGGCGTCCGCCATTGTTCCGTGGCAGATACAAGTTCGCTCTCTTTGCTGTAACCAGTTCGATTGGTGTTACAATGGCGTTCACTCACCGTTTTTCCGTTGCAACGAGTACACGACCGCTCCGTCTACACGTTTTGTTCTGCTCGCTCGCCCGTCAGCCATCTTTTCCCGTTTGGGATAGTTACGGAAAACGTGTTTATTGTTTCGTGTTAAACATCGCGGTTGTTCGGCCGATTAACCGTATTGATCTTTTATTGACTGTCGTCGTCCAGTCTGCTCTCGTCAAGTTCGTGACAATCAGCTCCGAGTAGCTTTACCTACTCTACCATACTTCGCGTCCACGTGCGCGGTTGAACGCTCTTCGCTCCACGACACGACGGTGCATACGCTCGCACTCGTGTTCCAGATACAGCAGCTCCGCACCTACAGTTCACCAGCTCAAGACATCGGCCAGGGAGGCAGCTCAGTCGGTGATCCCCGTTTCCCCCCTGACTTAATATTGTATTATTGTATAATTGAATTACCTACCTACTGTTCATGTGGTATACCTAACAATACATGCTCCTGATAGTTAGAAATCTCGTGTTATTTTTGAATCTTATAAATTGCCTTACTCTACAACAATCCCGAGGACCTCGTACCAGGCGATATCTGATCTTAAGGATCGCCGGGTCAACATTTTGGTAGCAGAGCGTGGTTGGTTGGTCCATCAACATCTGGTACTCTGGATTCGCGTGAGTAATGCATTTTGTTTTTAGTTTTGGCTTATGAGTATAAGGTGTGTACATTTATTTATCCTTTTCCTCACTCCTATCGATAGTAGGTACTGTTCAGTAAGAAGACAGTAATTAACTCAACCGACTGCTCAGTCATTAATTAATTGTTTTATTTATTGCTATTAATATAAGTCAGATTTATTATTTAGTGTTGAGTTTTATTTACTGTATTCGTGCTCAAGCGTTTACTACTGTAGTAACGTTATTCAATTTGAATTTACTTTAAATATTACATATTTATTAGACGGTGCTCTCTGGGTTAAATTATTTATTGTTTTATTTATTGTATTATGTATGGGTATTAACTAGTATAGGTTGTTCACTAGTTGCTGGTCTAGTTAGCACCTACCTCATTGGTTATACTATTTAATTGGGTGGATTATTATTGATATTTTGTTGTCATGCTATTGACATCTGAGTTTTAACAGGGCTTATCACTCACCCTTAGTGCAGTAGCTCTAAATTGCATTATTACATAGTTTAAGATTTAGGTGTGCGTCGTGGGTCGTGCCAAGGATCAGGTATTGTACTATCACACAATATATTATTATTTGATTATTTGTTTTATATTATCCACTCTAGGTTGCTCAATTGAGGGTTTTATAGTGCAGATTTGGTTGTCTAACTTGTTCATAGTTAGTATAATTAATTTTAATATTATATTTAGTACTGCGTCGCCTGGATACACCTGAGTTCTATTCAAGTTTAAATTATTTAGGTGCTCCCCTGTTGTTTAGACTAGTTTTAACTGTTAATAGATGATATTGATTGTGGGCTAGTGATTATTTTGCCGCTTGCTTAGTTATTGCCTACATCATAGTCAACGCTTGTTTCTATTTTATTAATTGACTCGTTCATGGCCTTTTTATAGTGCTCATTCGGTAGTCATTTATTTGTTCATTGATTTTCGGCATCGTTGATCAACGTTTGTACTGTGTGATACCAGTTTTAGTAATCTTTTGTTTGTGCTTACTTTTTGATCATATCTTTGAAGTGATATTGACTTCAACTAGCAATTTGTTCTCGCTCTAGTTCAATATTGTTAGTCTCTGGCTTTGTTACTTCTTGGTGCAGTCAATATAATGGCTGGGGAACGTGATGCTCGTGCGAAGGAGCGTGCTATCCTGCGTAGGGATCAAGTCATCGCTCGAATTCGCCAGATACACTTATTGGCCACAAGCTCAGCCACTGATGAAGCTAGTAGAGCTCAACTAGCTGTGGCTATTGTCGATATTGATAGCTTGTGGGCCAGCTTTGTTATTGAGAACAATAATCTTCTAGACATACTTACCGAATCGGATTTGTTGGGGGAGTTTTCTGTGAACTTAGAAACTGAGACCCGTGCTTTGGTGGTAGAAGCTAAGGCCTTGTACAAGGCATCTCAACCAACTCCAGCTTTTAATGTCGGTACGGTTCAACAAGTATCGTATGAGGGTATAATTGACCAAGCAAGTTCTTCTGCTGGGGGGTCGTCCAAGGATTGCTCAGTTCCCTATCCTCCGTTGGCTATGGCACCTGTGAGGTTGCCTGAAATCCCTCTGCCTACTTTTGATGGTGAATGCCACAACTGGCCAGCCTTTAGGGACATGTTCGTCAATTTGGTGGCTAACAACGATAAGATCCCGAATGTTACCAAGTTCTATTACCTGGTTGGGTGTCTGCATGCTGATCCGCAAGAAGTCATCAAGGGATTTTCGATTTCAAATGAGTCTTTTACTCTTGCCTGGGACGCATTGATCGAACGCTACGATAAACCGCGCAGGTTAGCTTCGTCAATAATCGATAAGTTAATATCCGCTCCCGCCTCGAATTCTGAAAATCTTGCAGTTCTGCAGACCTTTATGTCGGTCTTTGACGAAAACATCACGATCCTGGAGTCGCTCCAGATCCCGGATCTAGCGTCGTTTCTGTTATTTTCATTGGCTGCTAGGTGTCTACCTACATTCTCGAGACGTCTTTTCGAAGCTGAAAACAATGAAGAATATCCGTCGATACAGAGCGTGATAAAGTTCGTTAAAACGAGAATCCAGATTCTTGAAAATGCAGGTGTACAGTCGGCAGGAAGCTCCTCCTCGAAGTCGGCCAATTTCAAGAAAACTGGTTTCCGTCGGGAATCGAAGACCGCATTAGTTTCGACGCCCAAACCTTCGACGTCCAAACATTCCTCGACCAAACCTACTTCGGCGTCATGTTACGTTTGTTCCGGTGCTCACCAGCTAGCTGATTGCGCGAAATTTAAGGCTTGCTCGGTCGATGAACGCTACAAGGTGGTGTGCACGCATCGCCTTTGCATGGTCTGTTTGAATCACGGGCACATGTCGTTCAAGTGTTCCTCTTCGTGCTCCATATGCAAGAGGCGCCATCATGCGCTACTACATCGAGATCAGGAACCGTCGAAACCCGCTCCTCCGGCTGCCATGTTAGGCCGCCAACAATCTCCAACGGTCTTGCTCGGGACCGCTTTGGTACATGTACGAGATACAATTGGCAGTTGCCAGACCGTGCGCGCTCTGATCGATTCGGCATCGCAGATCAGTGCAATCACATCGGCTTGCTGTAACCGCTTGGGATTACAGCCCTCGCGATGGACAGTACCTGTGACTGGTCTTTCCGGCCAGAAGGTTCCGGATGTACAGGGTATTGTTCAGCTGACGATCCAGCCAAGGGATAAGCCAACGCCAGCGATCCAGGTGAAGCCTTGGGTACTCTCTACCATCACGTCAGATATGCCAGCTCGACAACTGCCAGTTCAGGTACGAGCCAAATGCAGCCATCTGATGTTGGCCGACCCAAGCTTCGATGAGCTAGCTCCAGTGAGATGCTCATTGGCGCGGATATATTTCCCCAAGTATGGAAGAACAAGTGCAGCTCGCTGGGTCCAGGTTTCCCTTCCGTTTACAGCTCAGTATTTGGTTGGGTGCTAATTGGTCCCGTTCAGGAGCACCCAGATATTGGCGCACAAGCCATGTTGGTGTCGCTAGTATCGTCCATGGAATCCATCATAGAAAGGTTTTGGAAGGTGGAAGAACCTGAAGCTGCTCCGCCTCAGTTCACCGAAGACGGATTGTGTGAAGAACTGCTCAATTCGGAGATGCGCAAGGATCAAGCCCATCAACCCTCAACCTATGTTGGCTGATCTGCCTAGGTTTCGCGTTCAGGAAGCTCATCCGTTCTCTGTCATTGGTATAGACTATGCAGGTCCCTTGCAAATGAGGGAACTCAGCCTGCGAAAAGCTCGTATCGTGAAGTTATACATCGCGGTATTCGTTTGTATGTCCACCAAAGCGGTGCACTTGGAACCAGTTTCTGCCCTGTCGACCGAGGCTTTTCGATTAACGTTAGATAGATTCGTGGCTCGTCGTGGTCTACCGACGTCGATCTACTCGGACTGTGGCACCAATTTTGTCGGTGCAGCGAGGCAGCTGCGACAATTAGTAAATCATCCGGATAATAGAGATCAATTATCTGGTCAGATTGCGTGCGTGTGGCATTTCAACCCTCCTGGTGCTCCCCATTTCGGAGGAATTTGGGAAGCTGCAGTGAAGTCAGCTAAGGCATTGCTTCTTCGTGCCATGAACTCACAAGTTTGGACGTTAGAAGAGTTTACCACGGTGTTATGTCGAGTAGAAGCTGCTTTGAATTCGCGCCCTCTAGTACCAGCATCATCTGATCCGAATGACCTGGAATGCTTAACACCCGGTCATTTTTTGATTGGTCGTCCTCTGATATCGATTCCGGAACCTGTGATTACCAGTACGCAAACAGGACTGCAGACTCGCTGGAAGCTCCTCCAGCAGTCTTTCCAGTTCTTTTGGCGACGTTGGTCCCAGGAATATCTAAATACTCTCCAAGTTCGTGGAAAGTGGACCAAAGATAGCAACAACGTCGAAGTTGGTAATATGGTGGTAGTAAAAATTAGCGACACCCCCCCTCTTACGTGGCCTTTAGGTAGAGTGATCGAGGTGTATCCGGGCACAGATAAGATAGTGCGGGTGGCAAAGGTTAGGACCAACCAGGGAGTGTTCACTAGACCAGTTGTGAAGTTAGTACCGTTACCTACAGATTTGTAGGACACGATAGGTACTAATTAGATGTAATTCCGTCCACCAGTTTCCTTTGCACCCTTATACTCATCCGCTATGGCTGAGATCATTATGTATTATAAACTGTAATTATTTGGTTTTACCAGCCATCACGCCTGCTTCTGGATGTTGGGCCGGTTGCTCCACCTCTGGATCCAGTGGGGTATGGCAATGTTTATTGTTTTTACTTTTTTATTTTCAGGTATTATGTTTTTACTATGTTGATACGTTTTTATGATGATAAAAAGAAAATAATGTAACTAAATTTTGGATAATTAATTTTGTATGTTATGTTGTTAAACATTGTTATTTTAGCTCGGTTAATACCGTAGATTTGTTATATTTCGTTGCAAAAAAAGACTGTTAAAAATGTTGTCCCTTTGTAAAGAAAACCCGATCATCGCTTTGGGCTGCTCAACTGCTCAACTGCTCCGTTCAACTGCTCAACTGCTCTGCTCAACTGCTCCGTTCAACTGCTCGACTGCTCCGTTCAACTGCTCTGCTCAACTGCTCCGTTCAACTGCTCAACTGCTCCGCTCAACGGCTCCGTTCAACTGCTCCGTTCAAGGCTCCCAGCTCCAACATCATTCAGAACAGATCGAACTTCTTATTCCAAGTTAGCTGGAACTTGCAAGGGGGAGTATGTTCGCTCCGTTTGATAACCGAATTGCCGCCGTCGGTGGTCACGCTCGACCGACCGCCGCAGTAACCATGTTCGTGGGCGCTGCGCGCCGGCAGCCGCGATTTTGGCAACACTGGTAGACCGTTACCGGTGATCGGCGCTGTCGAGTTCGGACGTCCGCCTCGCTCGGTCGTCGTCTGTGTATGCGTCTAGCTCGTCCGTACCGTTTATGCTCAACGGCCCGTCCATGGGCGTCCGCCATTGTTCCGTGGCAGATACAAGTTCGCTCTCTTTGCTGTAACCAGTTCGATTGGTGTTACAATGGCGTTCACTCACCGTTTTTCCGTTGCAACGAGTACACGACCGCTCCGTCTACACGTTTTGTTCTGCTCGCTCGCCCGTCAGCCATCTTTTCCCGTTTGGGATAGTTACGGAAAACGTGTTTATTGTTTCGTGTTAAACATCGCGGTTGTTCGGCCGATTAACCGTATTGATCTTTTATTGACTGTCGTCGTCCAGTCTGCTCTCGTCAAGTTCGTGACAATCAGCTCCGAGTAGCTTTACCTACTCTACCATACTTCGCGTCCACGTGCGCGGTTGAACGCTCTTCGCTCCACGACACGACGGTGCATACGCTCGCACTCGTGTTCCAGATACAGCAGCTCCGCACCTACAGTTCACCAGCTCAAGACATCGGCCAGGGAGGCAGCTCAGTCGGTGATCCCCGTTTCCCCCCTGACTTAATATTGTATTATTGTATAATTGAATTACCTACCTACTGTTCATGTGGTATACCTAACAATACATGCTCCTGATAGTTAGAAATCTCGTGTTATTTTTGAATCTTATAAATTGCCTTACTCTACAACAATCCCGAGGACCTCGTACCAGGCGATATCTGATCTTAAGGATCGCCGGGTCAACAACCTTTTTATTGGTTTTTTTGGTTGGAGCTAGGATTTTTGGAGTAGCAGGTTTCGGCTGTGTGATATCTTTTATTGCATAGGCTGCATATTAACTTCCATTTGCATTCAGCACTGGTGTGATTGTAGTTGTTGCAGTGTTCACATTGTGTCCTTTTTTCAAAGCTATTGTAAGTTGATATCTTGTTTTGATTGGTATCATTGTTTGGTGTTTGTGGATTATTATTTCGATTGTTATTAAATTTGTTGAAATTGTTATAATTAGGGCGGTTGTTGAACCTATTGTAGTTTTGTTGTTGGAAATTGTTGTTTCTATTGGTGTTTGCTTGGTTGAGGTTTGGTTGATTATTGTGTTGATAATTTTGTGGACGACGAATTGAGTATTGATTAAAATTTGGTGGATTGGCCTTGTTGTTAGTATTGAAATTGTTGTTGTTGTTGATTTGTTGGCTTAGATTATTCATCATGGATTCTAAGTTCGATATTTGTGTTGTTAATAAATCCATTTGTTTTTTGGTTTTATTATCTTCTATGGCATTTACGTGTTCTTTTGTGATTTGAGCCCTGATGTCATCACGAGATTGTGCAGTATTCCCGTTGATCATAAATTCAATAGATTCATATTTCCTTATATTTTTCTTCAGGTCTTCCAAGCTGGTGTTATCTAGTATCCCTACGTATCTAGCAATTTCTGGTTTGAGTCCTTTCATAATTGTGTGTGCAATTTCTGTTTGAGGCATTTTTGGATCTATTCTTTTACATAGATTTTCTGCATCATTGATATATGATGCTGTTGTCTCGTCAGATAGTTGCTTTCGTTTTTCTAACATGGTTCTCAGCATATGGTTCTGTGCTGTGGGTTCAAATTCTAGACGGAGTGCCTTTTCTATTTGATCCCAGGTGGTGGCTTGGTTGCTATTTTCATAATTGTCTAAAAATGTTGATGCTGTATTTTGAAGGTAAATGGCGAGGAATGATTTTTTTTGTTCCTCAGACCAGCCGTTGATAGAGCTTGCTTTGTTGTATTTTTGAATAAATGAGTCAATATTTTCATGAACTGCCCCGGAAAACTTGTTGGGTTTATAGAATGGTATTCTGTCCGACATTTTGATATTGTGGTTGTTTTCAAAGTCGGAATTTATCCACTCTCCTTTTATATACCTAGATAATCTGGATCTTAGTGCTGGTAATTTTCCTTCTGTTATCAGTTTCCTTTTTTTGAGTTCTAAGACGATATCTTGATGGTTTAATTTGGTTATTTGATCCCAGGATATTGTGGCGACTGTTAAATCGTTGATTACTTCGGTTGTTATATTGTCTGTGTATTCGTTTTCTTGTTGGTTCTGGTTTTCGTGTATTGACATGTATTATGATTTGTTATATACTGGTTTGTGTTGGAAATGATATGCAGGAATATTCCAGAACTTGTATTAGTTCCAATAGTAATGTCTCGTATGTTTGTGGAAAGAGGAATCCTCTGGTGGTATGTTTTATAATGAAATATTGGAAGTATTTCAAGAATCTTGAGTCGTTTATTTTAATTTCACCACCAGCAATTTTGGTTAAATCTTTGATTGTGGCTATGTATTGAGTGGTGATTTTGATTTCTGTATTGAGTATTGTTGTTGAGATTATGGTTTTGATGCACTGCTTTAGTAATACTATATATTGTATTCTCTGGCTGTTGCTCAGGTCTCTGAGGTCGTTTTGTATAGCATTCATTTAGAGTGTATTTGATGATTGTCTTGATTATGTTTTTGAATTGTTATTTGTTACGATTTTATTTGTGCTTTTTAGTGATTTGTTTAGGATATTTATTGTTGTTAAGAATTGAAATATTTCGAATTGATTTCTATTAGATAATGAAGTATAATAATTTTTCAATATTTGTATAAGTTCTAGCAATAAGAGTTCAAATGATGGTGCTAGTGTAAATTTTCCCTTGGTGTATTTTGTGGTGAAGTATTTTAAATATTTCAAAAATTCGGCGTTGTTAGGTCCTGATTGTAGCTGCGCGAGTTTTTTCAGATCTTTGATTGTTTTTTTATGTTGTAATGAAATATTGGATAGAATGTTTTGTTGTGTTAATTTGGTTAGTGTTTTTGTACACTGTTTTAATAAGATGGCGAATGACGCTTGTATAGCGTAATTGATGGTTTCAATGTTGTTAATAATATTCATTGGTTAGAGAAAATAGGTTGTATACTTGTGTAGGTATATTGTAATAACGTTTATTGTAGTAATAACGTTACCTAGTTGGGCGCCATTTGTAGTAAAATAAAATTAGGAAAGGGGGGGGATATCGGGGAAATAACCAGTGGCGGCAAACTATTAAGGGTGTGAATGATTGGAGTGTTGCGCTTATTGTAAATTTTATCTTACTACAGAATATTTTTTTATTTGAATATCGAAATAATAATTTGTTCTTAATTGTATAGTATATGAATTTTCACTTACCTTGTTTTATCGTGAATAAGAATATGTAGACTCTCCTTGGAACGTTGATTGGAGTGCCGTCAAATTGATGTGAGTCGATGCACGTTATTTATACTTTACGATTTACACTACAATATCCTATTGCAATTAAGTATACATTTCTACATTACACACTGTTGGCTTCTTACGATTATGATGTAATGGAGTTTGTAAAGATATCTTTTGATGGGAGATGAGGATATCATAAAAATAGTTTTTTTGTATTGAATTGTGCTGATACTATGAATTTATGCATATTTTTAAGAAATATTCATGAATGAATTTTATTGTTCGTTTTCATTCAATATTTTTTTACAACATTCATTTCAACTTCTTGTATATTTGAGATTTGGACGTTAACGAGTACAGTACTTTCGGTCCAGTGCATAAGTCTGCCCGGTTCCGTACTCGCGACTCAAACTGCAAATATGGTTTGGCGATCCAATGTCTAGTATAGACAGTGAATTGACAAACAGAAATTGAACTGAAATTTATTATTTAATGTTTTTACGACATCCATTTCAACTACCTGTATGTTTGAGATTTGGACGTTTACGAATACAGTACTTTCGGTCCAGTGCATAAGTCTGCCCGGTTCCGTACTCGCGACTCAAACTGCAAATATGGTTTGGCGATCCAATGTCTAGTATAGACAGTGAATTGACAAACAGAAATTGAACTGAAATTTATTATTTAATGTTTTTACGACATCCATTTCAACTACCTGTATGTTTGAGATTTGGACGTTTACGAATACAGTACTTTCGGTCCAGTGCATAAGTCTGCCCGGTTCCGTACTCGCGACTCAAACTGCAAACATACTTTGGCAACCCAATGTCTAAGATAGACACTGAATTGACAAGCAGTAATTGAACTGAAATTTACGTAGATACTTTTACGAATTAAAATGCATTTCAAGTATAGCACAATTAGCTTAAATCTGATATTTTTAGGGATGTAGGACTTGGACACGAGTATATGGATATCTTCCCTACATAGCTTAACGTTATTGAAGGATTGTTAGGGTTATAAGAATTGAAATAACAATGTTGTCATGGTAGAATAGTAAAGTGAATATGCCAAAAATGAGCTCATACCTGGTTTCAAAACAAACGCAATAGTAAGTTAACTTTGTAGAGAAAGAAATTAATTTTGTGTCAAAAGAGAAGTGGGTTGATGGTGCATGAGTTGGCCCGCGGTCGTCATCAGCGTGGTCCTCCGTGTTGCGTCGAATATACTGCCACTGGTGTGCCGCTGTACTGAAAACTGGTAGCTTTGTGGTTTGTGCGTGGCGTTTATATACGAAAACGATTGTCTTATCCCTACTCTATTGTTATTACGTAACGTTACAATAGATTGTTCGTTTTTGTTATGTGGATTGCGCATGTGCGCGTATTCATGTCGTGTTTTCGCATAATGTCGTTGGTTTTTTTGTAAATTTTATATGATAAAAGTGTTCCCTACACCGAGTGTCATCTTATGATCATTTTTGCGCATAATATTATCAGTGATTTCAATTTGTTTGACCAAATATCGTATGGTGCGCATGTATGCACATTTTATGTCATTTTTGCACATTGTCGTTACTTTTTGGCTATATT